ACACACACACACACACACACACACACACACACACACACACACACACACACATACATACACATACTCAAACAAGCGTGCAAGACCTCAAAGGCCGAGCACAGAGAGGCCACCGAATATGTTTCGGCGTATCGGTGTCATTATTCACTCTGCGCCGATCTTTTCGAGGGTAGAACATAAAGTACACATTATATTTTCAGCGCGGGCAGGCTGTCCCGCTGAAGTATATCTAGGTTTTTATGAGATAAAATGGTTACACAAAGTGTGAACAACTGTGCTTCTTGAACGTCAAAAGAAACAGTCATTACACACACACACACACCCACACACACACACACACACACACACACACAAACACACGCGCGCGCACACACACACACACACACACAGAGAGAGAGAGAGAGAGAGAGAGAGAGAGAGAGAGAGAGAGATAGACCAAATGGTGGAAAGAGTAAATGCAAGCACTTTCACATAAACACACGCGGGAGAGGGAGAGTTAAGCATAGCGACATATATTTTTTATAGCCGACTGGTCAGCGGCAGGCAGAGTTGGGAAAGTGAAGTCATTTTGTTCAGATAAGAAGAAATACGCCGACCTCATGATGACTTATACACTTGTATATTATATAAAATAGAGTCAAGGTTTCAACTAAAAAGAATAATGACCTGGATGACAAGAGGTGATCATGGAAGACCCTTATTCCAAGGCAGACGTCGGATGAAGTTCAACAAACTTGGATAATACAAATGTCTTGAACATCTAGCTCTCACTGGCAAAATCGAGGGCAAGCGAGGCAGGGGTAGCCCGGAACAACATACTTAGGGAACCTAAAGAAATGGGTAACAGGAAAAAATCAGTGAAAAATAGCTTTTTCGAGAGATCCAGGCAAAGGAATGAATGGAGAATCACGATCGCCGATGTCTGTCGCTGATCTGACACTGAATGATGATGATACATACAACCCCACGAAAGAACCAATCTAAACAAAATTAAAACATAATACGACTATAGAACAATAGCAATCTATTTTGCAAGCCACTAATTCGTATCGTCATTTACAGTCATGACACAGGACGTTTGTCTTACAAGCGAACCGGCTTAAATCTCCTCTGCTATCTCTGTGTATGCAGTAGACTAGTACGTGTATTAGTACTAGTAGATTTCAACTCTATGATGTATAATACTCATTGCTTGAACATAAATCAAGGGAAAAGAACAAATAGGATGGTTTGAGGATGCCACTATAGTAGGTCAAACTTCTTTTCTTTCCCTCTACTGTTTCAGTCCATTTGTTTGTCATAGTATTTTCCTTCACTCTCTAAATGGCCGTCTTGTGTGCATCTGTTTCCTCAAACGGAGAAGAACAGTAATTGTTTATCATGGTGTCGTCTCTGAAATACAAATATTTTGGGGACAACTAAAGGCGATAGAAAGAATTCAGGCTCATACCCCCCCTTCCCCCAATTTTTCTTTTATTTCGTCCATTTTCTTGCTCTGCACGCAGGCCTTCCTCATCCTCCTTCTCGTCCATCTATATTCCCACTTCCACAGAAAAAAACCCAAACAAAACAAAACACACACAAACAACAACAACAACAGCAACAACAACACCCCCACCATATTCTCCCCCTTTCTCCTCGTCGTCCCACTCCTTCACTTCCATCATCTCCACTTCGTCGTGTTCTTTTTTGTCGACGTCGTCCTCCTTCTCCAGACTCCCCTCCCCCATCCCTGTCCTCTTCCTGTTAGTCCTCTTGTTGCCTCGTCTCCGTCTTCCATCTTCCTCTCCACTCCTCCTCCTCCCTTCCCCCCTCCCACTCTGCCAGGCTACCTGTCTTGGCGTACCGTACATACTACGTTGACCTGGAGGTAATGGCCACACTGTAATTTAAGAAATAGTTACAGCACTAGGCGAGAATTACAGACCGAGGTGTCCTTGAAAACTGCCAGAACTCAGGTTATCTGTGATTTGTACGAGGTCACTGGTATAAATTATAATCTCTGAAAACTGGACCTCTGTACATAGTTTTGCTTAACGTGTCGCGAGGGAAACGGCATTGTCATAGGCTGTACTGTGAATTCTTCGCTATTTCCCTCTACTGTGAATGAAGTAATCTTTTTTTATGCTCTCTTAGTAAGTCCGTCGGTGCTCTTGAAATAAAAAAAAATTGTCGATAGGCCTATTGGCTCCTCCAGATACCTCTTGATTGCTATCACTGATATAAGCTTACTTGCTTCACCATTTAAACTCCATCCACCTGTCTCATCACCACAATTCCGTTCCAAAGGATGAACTTCTATCAAATCATTGAACTAGAAATAAATCATGGTTGTTATGATAGCTGTTTGGTGACAATTTGTTTACAAAAAAGAAATCTGTCGAAATTCCCATTATTTTGCTTAAAATAAATGCTTTGACAATCGTTTTCTTTACATCCTGATATGATTAGAACACGAACTGACGCGTATTTAATTTAGGAATATATGGAGCCCACAGGGTTCATACAGCCAACGTGATCTCTGAACTGTCTGGTGCACAACACTTCTTCCACTTCAGCTGGTTTTCCCGATCAGCTCTATTTTTATGATTGCGTTGTTTGACAAAATATTCAGACCATAATCTGTGATTGCCATTCTCTGTCTTTCCTTGAACGGGTGGTTAGAGGGCGCCACTGGTAGGTCCTACTTCTTTTCGTTTGCTTTCCCTCTGTCGTTTCTGTTTATCTGTCTTGATTCCTCCTTGCACTGAATGACCGTCATTTTGTCGATGTACTTCTCTGTACTCAAACTCAAAACCCCAAATCGTTCGCTCTCCTTTATCAGTGTATAAACAACGAAGGAAGATGACTCTCCTGCCTAGCTCTCCATTGTCGTCTAATGTCGACACTTTACTAATACTAGACAACGAAGTGAAAAACTGAAATACCAATGGCAGCCTGCAGGAAATGAAGTTATTCTAACCCTCATTTTAGAACTTGTTTATGACTGAAGGAAGGTCAGTAGACAAAGTATGGGAAAACAGCTCAGAAAAGGAAAGTTTGTTAGAAATAGGTTTTCAAGCTGACCATCATCTGGAATGTCAAACACATGTTGAATGAATCGCCCGACGGCAATAATAAAATAAACGTTATTATCTTAAATCAATTGATCCGCGAGGTAAATTTGGGTCGATATACCAGAACATCAAATTAAAAAGATTCAACGTCAGGAGGATGTCCTAGCTTCTGTAAACAACTCTATTCTCCTCTGTTCTCTGTGGGGCCTTTGGGAGACTTTCTGTCCCCCAACAGGACGTGTGTTGAGTGTCCGAAGTTTGCAGTTGCCGTTTCAAAAGGGAGGAGAAAATAGGGCTTTAGCACACACTTGTAATATTATTTTGTTGCAATTTTACAACTGTTCCTTAAGTACATTGTTTTATACAATGACATGTACTCCTGGACCATTAGAAACTATGAAAAGAGAAAAAAGAATAATAAAACTTAAACGGCCCAAGACAACGTGTAAGAGCATAAACGTTAGGATAGCGACATTTACAAGGTGCTTTGGTCGAGGCCACACAGCTCTTGAAAATTTTTTATTTGCCCATTGATGTTCCACTCCTTGGGACTAGAATGAGTTAAAGGCTAGATCTATGCTTTTCTCAAAGTTCATTAGTTATTGAACTCAATTTTTTGGTGGAGCAATTACAATGTAGCCTATGTCTCAGCCTGCTGAAAGAATTAAAAATGACAGAGAGCAGCAATGAAAACAGTGTCAGGTATGGTGTGTCGAAGAATGAAGTGCGGATGGACAACCTCTTTGGGATGGTCAAGTCTCCTCTCCCCTTCTCTTTTCCAATCTTTTCCGAACTTTCTCAATCCTTCGATATCCCACTTCAAATAGATCTATGTTCTGAGACACTGTTTCTCTAGTGTGAAGTTAGCGAAATACAATGTTAGGCTATAAGCTAAATTCCTGAACCTAGTCCTATGTTTAGCTGTTTCTTGATTTGTTCTACTCTGGTTTGGCTACACATTTTTTCATAATAATGAAGCTCAGTGAATTTCAACTTTACAATTTGCAATAATTCTGATCGATTAAAAACAAACAAACAAACAGTTTCAGTTCATTGATAACATGATATAAAGTAGAACTAAGCTTAGTTTTGAAAATTAGACACAAAGAACTTAATAATTATGAATGCTTTTCAGTATCTGCAAAGAAAAAATTGAGCTCTGGATCTAAAAAAAGCTGTTATATTTTTTTCTTTCCCAACCAATGATGCATATCGCAGTAGCAATTTTTGAAGGCTAATTTCTTGTGACGCTATAATATTAGGCCTATTATTCTAAGACACATGATTTGGACAAATCAGTTAACGTACAACCGATATGGGTACCGTACACCGGAAACAGAACTCTTTTGTCTTCTGTGTTAGGAACTGTGGTGACTTTCGATTCCACATAAACACACACTCAACTCAAGAACTGTGGTTGTTTACTTTTAAATTGCTGCCAATAACTGTCAACATCAGCAAAATTCAGGAGTAATGTCCTTTCATTTTAGCTGTAGATGATAGGTTGAAAATCTGGTACCTCTGATATCTGTCTGTAAAGCTGTTCTTCCTAATAGTTTTTGTCCTTGATTGTGAAGTGGGCAGGCCTGTACTACTCAACTGTAGTGTAGTGTAAGGCAACCTTCTATTCTCACCCCAGGTGAGAATAGCGCAGGCGACTCTTTTGGCTATTCTCACCCAGTGTGCGTTCACCTAGATCTAGGCCAACCAATATTGCGTTCCCCCTAAACCACAGTATTCTACACTGTGATAACAGAAAAATTGTAGAATTCTGTGCCGTGAACAAATGTTCCATTACTACTGTTTGTTAGCCTGCTAAAAGCGTACAATTTTGGGTGCTTTTTCGGTAGTTCCCACCCCCCTTATTTGAGCCTGACCTACATCTAGATCTAGATCTATACGTTTGATTCGCGGTGAGCTAAGATATCAAACCTAACAACTGCAAAATATTAAATTATGGTAAAATTCAGGATGGGCATGCCCCCCTGAAACCCCCCTTCCTATTTTTATTAGGTCAGGGGGGGCAAGCCCCCCTGAAACCCCCCTACTCTTGTGGCCCAAACCCGTTAATAAAATTGCGGGGTGGGAACTACCGAAAAAGCGCCCAATTTTGTCTGTGGGCAGTGGAGAGAGAGAGAAAGAGAGAGAGGAGTAGCGCGAGAAGTTCTGGGCAAAACAAAATGGCGACCCGCGTAGTTTGGCTCGATTCGAAAAGTTAAATAGCCGTAGCATCTTTGTAGACGACCAAATTCATTTACTTTTGTGTTTTAACATCATTTTTAAACTTTGTTTTGGTCAATTTGATCGTCCACACTGATAGACAGTATTCAGAAAACGAAGTGGCTAGCCGTACTTAAGTACGGCTAGACTGGCAGTCTAGCCGTACTTCTAGCCGTACTTAGATCTAGGTTTGGCCCAATCGACTCAATCCTGTTAAGTACACAGGTCTCATTAGATCTAGATCTAGTAATTATTCAGGTTCAAATACATGCAAGTCAGTAAGGCACCTTTTGGCTTTGTCTGAAATACAAATACTTTAGGCATTGCAAACTAAAATTTTCATTTACAATTCAGCCATCAATATTAAGTACGGCTAGACTGACAGTCTAGCCGTCCTTAAGTACGGCTAGCCCGGCTGTCTACCCGTACTTAAGTACGGCTAGACAAGAAGTCTAGCGCTAGACTGCCAGTCTAGCCGTACTTATCTTAGGCCCTATTTACATTAGAAAACAGGAGGTTTAAAATACATGCACTGTCATTAAGGAACCTGGTTTTGTCTCAAATACAAATACTTTAGGTACTGCACACTAAAAATGTATATATTTACAATTCAGAAGGCCTATTTTTTGTAAATGGTCAGTCTAAGTCTAGCCATCATATTAAGAATAAGTACGGCTAGACTAAGTCTAGCCGTACTTAAGTACGGCTAGACTGTGAGTCTAGCCGTACTTAAGTACGGCTAGACTGCCAGTCTAGCCGTCATTAAGTACGGCTAGCCTCTTCCTTCAGAAAAAGAGAGAGAAGAGGGGAGGAGTAGATCTTGCGAGAACTTCCGGGCAAAACAAAATGGCGACCCCCGTAGTTCGGCTCGATTCGAAAAGTGAAATAGCCATAGCATCTTTGTAGTCAATAAAATTAGCTTATTTTTGTGCTATAATGTAATCTTTTCTTTGCCTTTATCCATTTGATCATCCACATCGATAGAAAGTATTCCGAAATTAGGAAAAACAGCTCTTGTTTCACACCGGGTGAGAATAGCCTACGGTGGCAAGTCTCACCCGAGGTGAGAGGTCGATTGTATATATTCTATTCTCACCCCGGGTGAGAATAGCCACTTCCGTAGTGTAATTGTCACTCACTCAAGACTGACCCAAGGGCGCTTTTCGGTAGTTTCAACCCCCTTTATTTTTGCCCATTTTATTCCAAATTCGCAAAATTGTTCTGTTCAAACTAGCCTAATGATCCAGGGAGGGCCAGTTTAGATAGATCTAGAATATAGATAGTAACTGGGTATTAAAGGTCACGTCTCGATTGTTATCAATTATCATTATAACGGATTGAAAATTTTAAAATAAAATGCCAGCTGGAAATATTTAGGAACAAGGGTCGGAAGTCGAAAGGGGCGTCTTGCTGGACCATAGTGTACATCTAGATTTCTATGTGCTGGACTCAATTCAGAGTCCGAATATAATTTTTGTCTGTTCGGAATTAAGTCTGAATAGTCACTTCGTAAAATTGCAGTCATGAAGTTCAATATGAAGTGCGCTTCGCCATTGTTGTTTTGGTCGGAAGTCGAAATACAATTTGGCCAACCATTCTTTGATAACATTAGGTCTATTGCCAAGTTGGAAAGTGAACCATTTTCCATGACATTTACTTTACTAGTGGTACAAAGAAGTAATTTTCGTTCATGGATAGAATCTTGGTCTAGTACCGGTGTACTAAAGTTTAAAGGAGATTCCTAAGTCAAAATCTCTTCAAATATTTAATCTGTGCCGATAAGTTTTAACTTGATTATATTCTTGAAACAGGAAAATAGGCGGAATAATAATTGGGGGGTGGGAACTACAGAAAAAGTGCCAACTCAAGGTGGTTTAGGCCTAAAACATTGCTTTTAAAATTGTTTGCATTGGTCATGATGTTGTGGTGGTGGGACTTACAACTTGGGTAAATTTTTACTTTCACTCTCGCACACAGATCATGCACTGCTTCCGGGGTCAAACTGTTGTATTGTTTGCTGCAGATCACACATAAAGCCACTAATGCTGTCGCAAATCAATTACTTTTAAGAAAATTTCAAACCTGACTGTAAAATATTAAAATATATGGATTATATTAAACACAGGGGGCCCCCTGTAACTCCCCAGATTTTTTTTTACCCCCCTGAAACCCCCTGATTGCTCCAAAGCACACAAATTACTTCGCGGTTAGGCATAGAGTGAGATGGCTCGATTAAGAACAATCAAATATGTTGAAAACTGTTGATTTGCAACTGAAATGAAGTTCATATATATATATATATATATATATATATATATATATATATATATATATATATATATATATTCTCGTGTTCAGCGCATCAATATTTAGTAGAAAATGGACAACTGGTAGCTAAGTGTGAGACAGGAGGGAAAGCAAAAGAATATGGCAACTTTTTGGACTTTTTTATATATATATATATATATATATATATATATATATATATATGTATATGTATATATATATATATATATATATATATATATATGGCCTAACAATTGTATTGACTTAGGACCTATAATGGTTTATATTAAACAAGACCTGACACTGAGTGCCTTTTGTTAAAAATTGCAGAGATGTGCATAGAAGATCTTTCTTCTCTTATAACTTGACTACTACTAGATTTCTATTTACGCAGATTTCATCTCATGGTAAAAGACATGATATTCGTAGTCTGTTTAACACAAATTTTGGAGAGGTCTGCCGTGCCATTTTTAAATAAACCATATTTTATATATTCAAGTTTGTAACTAAAATAAGGCAAATTGGGTACTCCACAAACACTTCTAGAACAAAAAAAAGGAAACAAAGAAATTAACCATTCCAACGCAAAATTCAAGACATTGAGCTTTTAGTATCAGTGTAATGGTTTGCTGTGTGGGATACGGAAGAAGTTATAATATAGTTTCAAGCGAAGACAAAAATGCGAACTTCTTAAGCGGCATCGGCAAAATCGCTTCAGGGCTCATTAACGCCGGGGAGCTCCGGCTGGCTGCTGAATCAAGCTATCTAAAAATAACAGAATTGGGCAAAAAATGACGCAGTGTTTTCCTTCCTCCTCCCCCCCCCCCCCCCCCCCCACGACTTGAGCGGGGGCCTCCTCCGGGTTTCCCTTCCCTAGTCTTGACTGTTGCCATTGTTGTTCTGGTTCCTTCATACTGCTGTCTTTCAGCCACACCCCTGAATTTAGGTTAGGTAAGATCTAACGCTTTGCCTTCTTGGACCAGGGCGAAAAATCTCGGGGGTCCTGTGTGCAAGTTGCACACATTAAAAATCTCTTGGTCTAAAATCGATGTTTGAGTAGGCTTTGGCCGCCACCCAGGCAAAATCCAAAATTCCTAACTACTATAACGGAACATACTCTCGTCAATATAAAAACATAGTCTATAGAGTACCTTTGAAATCTGAATGTGGCTATCTGATGGCAAGGGGCCTTACAAAGCAGGAAAAACTGTCAAATACGCTTAACATTCTGTTGCACTGCAGGTTCAAGAACAATCAGTCAACTACCCATGAGATCTAGCGGGACAATGCAGTAATTCCTCTTCCAATTTATTCGCTCACAAGATATGCAAGGAACTACAGTGGAACTCGTGAGGTCGCCGGGCCTGACCTAAAATCTCGTTGAATCCGAGTGTTCGTTATAGCAAACACAAGGTTTTTGTGTAGATAATTACAGGCACTGAGCAAGTAATGTATAAAGAGAAGTCACAAGTAGTGCCTGAAATGCCTGCATGTTAGGAGCTGTGTAAAAAAAAAAGACCGATTCGTTCAAATGCACACACCTGTGTCATCTCGATTGTTTATCAAAAAGTTTGTGTTGATGTGTAGAGCTTAGCATACGGCAACTTTTGATTCCAAAGACGAGCGCACAATTCATTACGTAGATATCTACGTCAAGACTAGCTCATTGTATAAATGATCAGTTGCCGAGGTGGAAAAAGACTGTGACGCGTTTGTATCTGCGACGTTCATCGCCCGGACCGCTAGTGCCCCCCCCCCCCCCCCCCCCCGACATGCACACACATTCACACGTGTGCAGGCTGCCTATCCGGCCCCAACACACGGCAGAGTAGACACGTGTGCGTGCCAACAACGCATGTGTTGGTATGAAAAAAAGCCGCTGATTGGTCGCATGCAATCAGCTAGATGAATAATGGTTCACGAAGCAGGTGCAATAGATGGTTTCCGGGAATAGATAAAGTTCGTTCTGGAAGGAAAAAGAGCGAAGCCACGTCTGCGGGGGCTGTTCACCCTGAAGCGACCTCGTTGAATCCGAGCTGGCTGATTTAAGTGCTCGTTGAATCAAGGTTATTTTGATTGATTTTAAAGAAGAAAAAAAACGGGGAATCTATCTCATCTCGTTGAATCCGAGTTCTTGTTGAATCTGAACTCGTTAAATCCGAGTTCCACTGTATTGCTATCACAATTTTCATCATGGATGACAGTTTCTGGTTGCTTCCGAAGACACACACACACACACACTCTTTTGAAAATGTTTGTCATGCCAGAACACACAGGCCAGTGATATTTCATTATTTCTGGTATATGATGTGTTTTATATTAAAAAGATTTGAAAGCAAATGATTTTGATCTTCACTTGAAATTAGAAAAAAAGGGTATCGACTTTGTCCCACTATCTTTTCCTTATGGCCATCTTTGAAACTAATAATTGTAAGTACCACTGCTTGAGATATTCGGCACATGGCTGTGGTAGCTTCCTGTCATATGTGGCATGTGGCTAGCATAGTCTAATAAGTTAATGCAGAGGTAATTTCTGGTTCTCTTGAAGAGCTCTTTTAATTTATTTTAAACTATGGGAAAAATACACCTTGCAAATTATGTTGGCTACCAGTTTACAAAACAGCCAGTCTAATCTCTTCTCCTTTATTACTTAGCCAAGCACTTCACCTCAGTGTACTCTTGCCTATTTAGTGAATGGCAATCCTAGTTAATTTCTTTTTATCTGCATTCTTTCTTTTTTTTGGTCATTCTTTATTTTCTAAACTTATTTCTTACTTCAAGAGATGCAGATCTATGCTTAGCTCAGCTTTAGGACAACTGCTGTGAACAGTGCATGGTCTACAAATATATAAGTGTTTTGGCTGGAATCATTGATTATCATTAGCTTAAATTTATCGTTGTTGGGGATCCAGGAGCTGCAGAGCTTTCACCCTTCTACTTGATGCTACATTGGCTTAAATTCAGGCAAAGTTCAACCAAGATTTAAAATGGTATTGATATGAAACAAATTTGTGTTATTTGTGGCTTTTATCAGTGTTTGGGTGCAGTCTACTCTTGTTAGGAGTGCGGTACATTTTTCATGTCTATTATTATAATTTTAAAAATAATTTTTTAAACTGATTTCTTTCAAATTCTTAGCTGAGCTTTGTAATAATGTGTAACTTGCTCTTTTTAAGCTCCATTCTATTGCTTGTTGTTGTGATCTTCATGTCTGTCATCTGAACACAGTGAAGACTGCAGGTGGAGGGTCTTGTTTCATAGTAAAGTGGAAGGAGAATTTATACTTTCTGTTTAGAACTTTAACATTGATTAAAGCTGAGGTCATCAATCTGAATGGAGTGAAAGGGTTTCTCTAAGAATTCCTGAGATAGTTTCCTTTCAGTTTTATGTGGTGTTGTGAGACAAATGCTGCACTTTTGAAATATAACATCAATTTTTGTCTGCTGGATAGGCATACATGCATTTCAGAAAAAAAACTGTAAAGCTTATTTTAAAACTGTGCTCCTGTTATCTTATAACTTGCTGTGTGTTCTTATTATTTCATAACTTCTGAGTGAAGATTTGTACAGAATGATCTTGAAAGAACTTTATTTTTTGTTCTTTAAGGATATGAAATTGTTGTTGTACTGTAGTAAGGTATTTCTCCAGCTTATTGTGTTCAACAGCAATATGATTTACAAATATAGACATATGTTTGGGGTTTTTATTTTTGGTAAGATTTTTTATTTGAAATTGTAATTTTTGTCTTTCTTTTTCCCAGACAGGTTGTGCGGTTCTGCAAATTGCTTTGACAGCTTCAAGACAAAAGAAACCTCTTTTCTACATCCTGAGAATGGCTTCCTCTAGCAGTGCTCGTACCGCCTCTAGTTTCATGTTTGACAAAGCTTACGTGGATGGCAAGTGGGTGTCTGCAAAATCTGGAAAGACTTTTGATGGTAATATGGGTTGAATCTGTTGTATATATTTATACACTTATGCGTAGGATTTTGCTTGTTGCTTGGTTGGCTTTTTTTTTGGTGGGGTTGTAGCTTGTTCATAGTGAGTAGCCACTTGTTAACAGATACATTGAAATGTTTTTCCTCTTATTTTGAGGGTTTAGCTGATTGGCAGGATATTGTGCTCACCACATTCATATGGGAGATATTTTCTGATTTATTCTTAGGCCGTCATGTTAACTACATAGCATTAGCGTGGGGGGGGGGGGGGGTCTTCTGGTTTCTGTCATCTCCTTTCTTTCCACTGCTTTTTAAAAGAGGAAAGTAACCTTTCCATAAATTTCCAAAGGGAATTATAATTTTGAGCTCAATTTCCATGTAAAAAATGTGATTATAGTTATTAAAAAAGAACTATTCGCTGGTCATGGTGAGATTGGTTATTTTGATAACAATTGGATTTAAAATGTTAGTTTTGAATGAGACAGTTATAATAATTTTCCTGTTTGACAGGTTTTTAATTTTCCTTGTGGGATAGAGATACGTAAACAGTACAAGCCACTTCAACAAATTGTTAATGTTTGTGTGCCTAAAGAAGGTACCGAAAGTCGCCACAGACCATTTTGAGCTACAGGTTGATATTGACAAAAAAATCACTTTTTTTTACCCAAATGTGTTTTCATTAAAAAATGATAGATAACAATGTGTTAAAAAAGTTTTCATTGATATGACTTCTAAATATTTTATTTTGAATTATTTTGAGGGTAGGGTATGTTTTAAAAAGATATGGAAAACTGCTTTTAAAAGGCGTTAAAATCTATTCTTGAAGAACGTTTTCTCTTCCCAGCTATGTTTTACCTTTGAATTCTAATCATGATATTGATGTCAACTGAATGCCGAATTGGAAAAATATTTTTCATATTAGATGTATTAGAAACATTTGAATCATCGTTTTTTTTCAAGTCTGTAGGTTCTAAACTTAAAAGCTAATTTTCTCAAAATTAAATCTTTATAACCTACCTCGCAAAATGTGCAATATCTCAAAAACTACTTAAGATATCTCCAAAATTCTAAAACCACTGTGTTCAGCATTGAATGTCTTTTTAGGTGCAACCCTTAACTCAGAATGGTTAAAATCCAACTTTTGGTACCTTTCTTTAGGCACACATACAAATTACGTTGTTTTATAAAAGTAATACGGGTTAGAATTGGAAGTCATAGTCATACTTTTCTTGTGTACTTATAATTGGACCTCCATGTTTTATTTATGTTCTATTCAAAATGCTTTGCTACTGATATGAATGTTCAGAATATTTTTTCGGGAAAAGAGTTCAATCCGTTTCAAATGTTCAAATGCAGACTTTTTTCAGCTGTATTTTAATTGTTTTGTTCTTTTATTATAGTCCTAAATCCAGCAACAGGAGAAGTCTTAGGGAATGTTCCGGATATGAACCAGTCAGACGTGACGGAAGCCATTGATGTCGCAAACAATGCTTTCCAGAAATGGAGGTTTACCTCTCCAAAGGTAGAGGCAATTTTGTTGTTGATTTTATTGCTGGTTCTGTAGTGGGGACAGAGTTGGGGGGAGAAGTTCTTTTCATTTTGAATAGAACTGCCTTGTTTTTAAAATGTGTTTTGTAGTTGTGGACATAAATGTGTGCTCACTGTCTCTTTTCTGATTGAAGCTCACTGCAATTTTAACATTATGGATTCACTCTTTTGCAGTCCCGTTGATTCTTGTGTTTGCTCTTATTTGCTGTCTTGGCAGCTTAAGCATAGTGATGTTATTCTGAAGTAAAATGTGGAAATTTGTCTGCTTTCCAACACTGAGCTTTCAGCTTGGAAAATTGTTTTAATGGGTTTTAGGAACGTTTGTAAGAAGAGGATTTTTCATATACTATGCCTTATATTATGGATTCTTGAGCTTCCATTAAGTGACCATGTATTGGAAAACAATCTTTATGGGGACAACAAAAAAAATCTGTCATATTCTGTTGTTTTTCTCCAGCTGACTATTCTTGTTTGTGTCAAGAGGAAACATGTATTTGAACACTCTTAATGAGTCCTAGTTATTGCACAGTCGCTTTGTTTTCATTGCATGTTTTGTAGCTTTCAGTATCTATCGGTCACTAATTGGCATTTGATTTAAGGATGAAAGCTTGCTGTTGTTTTGCTGACACTGACTGTCCGTACTCTTTGCTTAAATATTTTTTCAAAACATCTTTATTGCAGGAACGTAGTGTTATCCTGAAGAAGTGGTATAACTTGATGATTGAGAACAAGAAAGCTTTGGCAGCACTCATAACTCAAGAAAATGTGAGTTTCTTTTCTTTTTTTTTTTTTTAGTCTTTTGTTAGTTTGGCCTTTTAGTGTTTGAGGTGAAAGAGTCAGATATGAAACTGCCATTCTGAACTAAATTTTCATTGTTATAGTTTTAGAAAAATGATGTGGAAGCTAATAATGAAGACAATACTAGAAAAACAAAAAAAAGATATAGGTGTATTATAGGGGTTTTAAATACAAGCATATTTGTATGCTTTCACTGTGCTTTGGGAACTAGTGAAAATTTCCACAGAAAAAGGGAAAGATACAAACTCCGAAATGAAATTTCAGCTGCGCAAGGAAAAGTGCAGCGATGGCTAGTCTTATGGTCTTGTAATGTCTGCTACTGATACTGATTGTCTGCAATCTCTGTTGCAAGTATGCAATGTTATAGTTGTTGCATGAAAAAAGTAGAACTTCATTTGAGTTTGCTTTACAGGATAAGTTAAAAATAGTAGAGGGCTCATTTTTCTTAATTGTTACATTATTTGTAGTGCTTTTCTTGCCACTATTTGGTTGATATGTTATTTCTTTGTAGGGAAAACCAACGGCGGATGCTGAGGGAGAAGTCATGTACAGTTCTGGTTTCTTGGAGTGGTTTGCCGAGGAGGCCAAAAGAACCTACGGTGATGTATTGCCAAATTATGTTCCCAACAAGCGAATTATGGTCATTCGGCAGCCCATTGGCGTGACTGGCATGATTACTCCTGTGAGTATCCATTCAGTTTGTTACTGCTCACTCTTTAGTCAATGTAGATTTTAATGGGACATAACTCCCTTCATTTAGAACTAGAAGGGAAGAAGATAGGAATGAAACAATACTCAGCTTTCTAAAGGAGTAGGCTACCAGGTACACCCACAGTGTATATGATTGGAAATTTTTCAGGACGTACCAGCTACTCAAGGAGCAGGTTTATCAATGGAGACTTTATTGATCTCAGAAAGAGGAAAGCGATCCACTGCCTGGGCTTCATTTCTAAGGCTTCGAATTTTTCATTTCTTAAATTTGCTTTTTCCAACTTTTAATCAGTGTTTGTGGTATTTCTGAAACATTTACTTTAACTTTAGATTTTTCTTACTATGACCTCTTCCCTTTGCAAGATTTTTGTCGTGAAAATTTTTTTTGTGAATGTGGTTATTGCAGGTACAGTTTTGTTCAATTTTTTTTTTCGCACATCCTTCTGTGTCCATATGGAAGACGCTCAATTGTCAGTGCACAACTGTTGTGTAGATTAATTAATAAGACAAACCAAAAAGTAAAACTGAAGTAGTTGAAATGATGTTTGGAAATATCAATGTACCTGTCTGAAAAGAAACAAGGAGTGCCTCTGCTGACTGAGAAAAGTAGACTTGATGTTATGAATGTCTTTATTGTGTTATCACTTAATTACCATTCAAGTTTTCAAAGGGTTTTTTTTTGGGGGGGGGGGGGGGGGGGGG